GATCCCAACAAATACGATACAAGAGATCTTTCGGGTACACCGGACAGGCGTATAGGCCGACCACTTCGTAGGAGGGGTTGTAGACATCGATTACACGGCGAATGATTGACTGAAACACAAAGTTCTGAGATTCTGTACTCGGATACGACTCCACAGGACGTGAACCATCGATGTCTTCGACACCTACAATGACGGTCACCGCCACCACACTCTTGGACTCTATTAGCCATAACTGTGCGCTGTTTCGGTACAAATCCATTGATATAGTGTTGGGGTCGGCAATGGGTCCGATGGCTCCCTCCTGATCACCACTAACCAGAACCGGGAATATAGAGTCATTGAACAGGTCTGTCGGGTGCGGCACCAGTATGTGAATGGGATAACCATTAAACAGTAGTGTCTCGAATCCAAACTCATTCTCATTGTCAGACATCTGAGTCCAGCCCACGATCTCTGTCGAGACAAACGTTTCGGTGGGCATTGGGTCCGCGTATTGGGCGACCAGTTGTCGCGCATTGAGAACCGGGGCGTCTATGTCCGGCTGCGGTGTATACACGCCGGCAGGTGTGGCCACTGTCTCCGGAGGAATGCTTGTTATGACAATACCACTGCCCGATCGATACAATATTCTGTGGATAGCGTTATCCGTGCCATTTGGTGGTGGGGTAGGGCTGCGTCTAGGGCTAGGGCTGCGTCTAGGGCTGGGACTACGCCGAGGACTGGGACTTCGGTTACGGTTAGGACTAGGGCTACGTCTGTTGGGGTCCATTGCCAACGCCTTATGAAACTCATTGTCAGCCATTCTTCCGGTGATTATATGTTTTGAAACTAATTCTTAAATATACAGTTCAATAGGAATTATTCAAATGTCAACCGATTTGTTGAATGATCGCGATATGAATCATACATTTGAATACAAACGCCCAAAAAGTCGTGAACATAAGTTTAGACCTAATTATTTGGTTAGTAATAATTGTTGCCAACAATTAAATCAATTATACAAATTTGGCTTAATTATAGTTTACACATCTAACAGTTTCTGTTAGAAATTGAAATAAATAAATGACAACATTTTAATGAGAATTCATTTTTATGAATCAATTTATTCACGATTGATATCAATGTTTAGCAATAAAACGAGATTTTCAGTTATAAAACATTTTGTCCACAAATAGGGCACAGATATTGAAGCGGTCGACAGACACTTAGAAAAAGTCATTTATATAATAAATCCGATTAAAAAGTGTTTTACAAATTCATTGAGAAAAAGGAGTATTTCAAAGACACATCTAATATACAAATATAATATACTTTATAATTAATATATTAACAAATAATTTCCAGAAATAAAGCATTGATTTTAGTTTAAAAATATATATAAAGACATAAAACTTTGTATTTGTTTCTCAGTATACGGTAAATGCCATAAAAAGTATCGATAAAAATCTAAAACGTTTTTAAATACATATAAAAAACTCAATAAAAGTAAATCATTTGTAAACGAAATGTACATATAATTGAATTGTAAACATAATCTTTGTGTTCATAATATGTGTGTAAATAAAGTCTTAATAGTAGGTCTCCTTCTCGACCCAACCGCCGGGATTGCGACGCAGTATATATCGCCGGATCTCGTCGTATATGAAGATCATTATAGCGAAGGGTATGGCCACTAACCACCAGTTGAACCTATGGACAGACACATCGCAAACACACAGTTAGCCACTCATCGTACAATTGATACCGTTATCCATGACTTACTTCATTGGATACATTCTGAGCGCTTTATCCATACCGGGCCCGTACGACAAGATAGCGGCCAACACCGTCTCGAATAAGAGCCCAAAGTTGAGCACATGATTACTGTAGGGGACAGACATACCATACATTTGTTAATTAAGTGTCAATTATGTATTGATTGCATTGTAGGACTCACTCCATTCCCTGGTGTACTAATGAGTTGCGTCGGGTCTTACAGATGATGAGGTCAGCCCATTGCACGATCACAATCTGTTTATCACACAATTCATGTACAAATCATTAGTCAAAACAAATTTCTCGAAAACTATTCAACACTGAAATACAGACCGATATGAAGAAAGCCGTATGACATGTGAATTCCAACACTTTTCTATCGTTATACGTCTGACAATCAAAACAATACAAATCAGATTCATGTGCTCTAATACCCAGTCCACTGTCTCTCATGTCATACCCATTCCTGGCCGTACGAGTCTCTCACGTCGTTCACAGCTTTCGAGTCCCACTGCTGTCGGATACCAATCAAGTCGTTCATCCAAAAGCCATTCTCACCCATAATGACAAAGTAGGTGAAGAAGCCGGCGCTGGCCTGCATCATACCTATCTGTCCGTAAGACATGGATATCAGCCTCTCGTTCACCAATTTGTCATTCTTGGCGTCTCTGGGCTTTCGCTTCATTATATCGCTCTCTGCCTTCTCGTAAGCCAATGAAATCGCGGGAACCATATCTGTGCCCAAATCGATACACAGAATGGTAACCGTTCCCAACGGGAGCGGTATGTCTGCTAAGATGAACACCAAAAACGGCGATATCTCCGGTATATTACTGGTGAGTGTGTATGCGATCGACTTTTTCAAGTTATCAAATATAAGCCGTCCCTCCTCTACACCCGTCACTATCGACGCGAAGTTGTCGTCCAATAGAA